GGTGAAGAGCCTGCCTGTTCGGAGGTGCTGGGAGCTGCACTTGACTCTGAGGAAGAGGGTCAGGCTGAAGAGCAGCATGAGGGGCGTGCAGAAGAGGAAGTCCAAGGCCCCAATGGTGATGAGCAGGAGCTTGCAGCTCCTGGCAGAGGGGCGAAGGGTACACAAAACATAGCCAAGCATGTTGAGCAGCAGGGAGAGACTCCAGAGCAGGCCGGAGATGATGCCGGACAAGGGCTTTGGGCGGTGGCTTCGGCACCAGATTGGACAGAGGACAGACAGGCACCTCTCAATGCTGATGGCCGTCAGGAGGTACAAGCCGGTCCCATACATGAAAAGATCCAGGAAGAGGAATATCCCAAACTGCACCCCCACGTTGAACTGCATCAGGTACTGAACTGTCTCGATGGCGATGCAGAGGAGATAGCCAAAGTCAGCAGCGGCCAGGTTCAGGATGTAGACCGTGAAGTGGTTTCTGCGGATGCGGAAGCCGAGGTACCATAGGACCATGCCATTTCCCACCATGCCACAGGCAGCGCTGATGAGGCAGAAGCTCTCCATGAACTTTAGGACAGCGTACGATGGCTCTGCCTTTCCCACAGCCCCGCTCTGATTAGTCCCATGAGCCTGGCTGGTTGCAGTTAGAAGTAAGAATGATGTAGTTGAAGTACTCATAATAAACGATTTCTGGCAGACCTGTAAGCAGAGAGGAGAGAGTTGGTAACTCCTGTGTGATTTTCCTTCATGGTGACCTGGTGGTTTTTTTGGATTTATTCTATCTCTTTGTAGCTAGAACTTGTGTTATGGAGGAATTGCTGTGTTTGGACTTGGAGCACTGTGCTTTGAGGCATTGTTCAAAGCACTGTACCTAAGGCTAAACTCTATACAACAGGTCGGAAATGTTAGATTGCAGTGGATTTCTCTCTTTTAAAAATTTATTTCTTGAAGGTCCTTTTTGCAGTCAGTATTAGGAAACAAATATCTTTTAAAAAGTAATTATAACTTAGCTGAATCATGCCTGAAAAGTACCTCTCGTCTGAATAAAAAGCGAATTCAGTGTTAAGAACTCTGGGATAGTCACCTTTACTTCATGTAGCCAGGATTAGGTGAGACAAATCTTGCCAGAAGTGTGTGAAAATTCTAAGCAATCAACATACACATTTAATAAGCATGAAAGCTGACTTAGTTTTGTCCTATGCATATGTCCAGAAAACATGTTGGAGAGTACTAAAACAGCTGGTAGTTCTTCATGTTGATGACTGATTTCTATTTTAATGAAGTGTAGTTAATGTGGATGGTTTATTCTCTTGTGCCCTATATACAGACAATAAGAGCCAGTCCTTAAAAACTTCCTTCTCAGAGAGAAACTGTAAGAACCGTACGTGGGACAAAATGTCTGACCCTCACAGGACTTTGAAATTATGGCTCAAATAATTATTTCATCCTATTCTCTGAGGCAGTTCACCCGGCTCCTTCCTCCGTGATACTGGGATCTCAATGAGAACCTTGGGGAAAAAAAA